TGTCGGGCCAGTCCCGGACTGGACCAGGTCATGAATTAGCGAGATAGGCCTCCAGGACGCCGCCGACCGGGGCCGCCGGGCTGCCCTTATCACATCACCGACGGCCCATTACCGAGCCGTCAGGCCAGGCCGCCAGGCCAACGCAACACGGCTCGTCCTGTCGGCCGGCGGGCAGCCGGCCTGCTGGCCTGTTGTGCGGAGAGGAGAGAGACGGCCCCGGCTAACTTCCCTCGCTTTAGAGCCTCCTCCTCCTCTTCGCCGCCGCCGCCGCCCGCCCCGGTGGCAAACCAGTTTGTAGGCGAGGAGAGCCTTTATGGGCTGTTACCCGCCCCGCCTGCGTGGCGCTGGAGGAAGGAGAGACGCCCTACCCCGCCCCGCCACGCCCCGAGGAGGTGCTCCTCGCCCAGAGACGAGCGGACATCCTCGCCATAACCTCAGCACGGCGACACCCATACGCCTCTCTGTCCGGGGAGACGTTTCGGAAAGGACCCGGCGGAGCTTCGGGTCGCCCGGGTGCGGCGTGGCGTGGCGTGGTGCGGCGTGGAGCGGCGGTGCGGAGCTGGGCCGAGCCGGCCGGGCCGCGCGCGTGCGTCTGACCTTGGCGAGAGTAAAGGGGATTTGACTTTGCGAAAAAGATTTGACCCGGAATAAGACGCGCTTCTTTTTGCTGCTCCTGCTCCTCTGCGGCCGCTGCTGCGAAGGATCCAAAACTTATCGTTTACCGAATTGTCTTTGACGCCGTTGTTGACGGGCCGGGCTATGAACCGGACCGGCCGGGGAGCTGCCACATTTGTCATAACGACGCGAAGAAAAAACCAGGAGGAAAATGAAAGGAGGACACACACAGCGATACTCGACGTGAATGTCAATGTAAAACGAGCCACCCGCGGAAAGTTATGTCCCGTTCAGAGCCGTTGACATTTTCATGTAAATCCATCGCCGCCGTTGGCGGCCCCCTCGGGGCAGGCCGACGACGATGGCGTCCCCAGCCGCCCGGAAGTCCCACGGGCTGGTCGCGGCGCGGTCCCGCGGCCGCGAAGCGCCCGCTGCAGGCGGGCGCCAGCGCCAGCCAGGCGGGCCGTTTCAAATCGCTTGACGACAACGTCCATCTGTTTTTATTCGTGGAGGAGGTCTTTCTTTTATGACGGCTAGTTGATGTTGACCGAGCCGTATAGTGGTGCGGTGTGCCTGGTCGCCTGCCCAAGGCACAAGCCCATGGCGCAGGCCCCGCCGCTGTGGGACGGGGGGCGCCGAGGGGGCCACCCGCCGCGAGCAGCACGGCGTGAGCGACGCGGCGCGACACGGACCCCTGGCCGGCCGTAAACTGCCATAAACACGCTGGAGCTGGAGCCGCACTGGAGCCTTGAACGCACGGCGTGGACGTGTTGAGTCCCGGAGGAGGCCCTTGCCGGGTCGGCCGGCGAACACGCGTGTAGGACAAGCCGCCCCGCCTGTTGTTGGAGTTGAACGTAGAACACGACAACAGAGACGCAAGCGAGGCCATTTAGCTCGTCGTCGTGTTCCCGTTCGGTAATATCTTAATTGAAGGAATACTTTGAGCATTTCGTCTGGTTCTCCGAACAGATCAGATTGTCGGGGTCGACGCTGCGGCCGAAATCTTTCTGTAAAAGAGCAAAAGGGTCTTCGCGTTACAAAATATAAAAGAAAATTTTCAACTCAAAAAAGAACACGATTGAAAACAAGTTCTGGAGGTGAAAAAATTTCTTTGCCACAATAACGAAATTTTAGGAAAGGAGAAAAATATGGAAATTGCGCAGCAAAAGCATGCCAACAGTTGTTATTATTCCGGAAGACCCCGGTGAGCCGTATGATGAATGGGACGGAAGGCCAGGCTGCTCCCGGCTGCGCGCCGATCATTCATTCGCCTTTCTTCTGTTTTCTCGTGTAGTTTACGGCTCCCTGCCGCGAGTGTCGGGGGGAATCGTAGAGTTATCCTTACATTGCTACCTGTTGGGTTGCGTCGCGTGTTTTCGGTTTGATATGTTATTCGCCGCGGCCATGCCTGGCGTCGCGCGCAAGCGGGAAACTTTGAAATGACGAATGTCTTTGACAAAAAAATACTTTCATTTTATTAAGTATGTTATTGACATTCGGAAATTTTGTCAAAGGGTCTACTAGTAGAGCAGCGGGGTTCGTGCGTAGCCGGATAGGACACTTCCCAGACGGAAACAAACTTTTTATGGAATGCGTCGATGTTTTTTGACCTCTTAATGTTTTTTGCGCGCGCGCATTTCTGGAGCGGCGTTGGCTGCGAAATGCGAAATTCACTCGTGGCAGGTCTGGTCGGTCTGGTCCGTCGAGAGGGTCCTGGGCTGTCTCACGCCAAGGCGGCGGCGGCGGCGGCGGCGCCTGCGGCTCCCTGATTGCTCCCTTTGTCCTGTCCGCTCCAAACTCTGGCGCGCGAGATAGGGGAAGGACCCGCGGCGGCGTGGCTGCGGCCGGCGCTGACCAGACCCGGGACGGGGGACGGGACGGCGGCGACGGCTCGCCAAGGCCGAGCACCGCCTCTAGCAGCACGCCCGCCGGATCGGCAAATAGAAATCAGGGAGGGGGAGGAGGGGGCGGGGGCTGGCCGCGTGCTCGTGAAATCTGGTCGTAAAATTACCAGCCGCACAGCCAGCGGACGAGCAGCGTCCGCTCTTACAGTGCAGCAGGAGGGCCGGCCTGTGTAGGAGGAGGAGGTCAATCTTAAGCAGGACAAACTCGAAGGATTTTTACTCCTTAAAGAAAATTTTTAAAACCGTCTAATTTTTTTCACCAACAATTAATTTTCTTTCACATTTTTCTGGACGTATTCCAATTTTTAGCAGATGATACGCTGTTATTGTCAGCTTGCACTCTCGTAAAGTTTTGAGCGTTCGCCAGTTAATTTTCCAATTTTTAGCAGATGTTTTCAAGAAAAGTTTACAATTATTGTTCTTTGAAAATTTCGCTGTGCGTTGTGCGGGGGAGAGTTGTGTTCTCGTGCGGTGATAGAAGAAGGTTAGCAAGCAAAAGGCTGGCTGGTTGGTGTCAGAAGTGCGAGGTTGTCTTTGAAGCAGCTGCTCATTGAGAGTCCGGCCAGCGCCGGCCGCGGAAAGTAAAGTCTTAATGATGGTCTCGGGACCAGCCGCGCCCCCCGCTAAGAAGAGGCGCGCGTAACGAATGCCGAAGACGCCAAAATTGAAACCCATTCATTCCTCGCGCAACAGACGTGTGTATTATTTATTCCCATAGGCCTGCCGCCGCCCGCCCGCCCGGTCGGGGCGGGGCCGGTGGGCCGGCGGACGGACCTAGGCGGGGCAGAGGAGTTGGGGCAGGACGTGCGGAGACGGACGAGGAGGCCCCGTCAGAGAGAAGCCCAGGTACTGTGCCGGCCTGATCATCGTGGCCGGACGAGGTGTGATGGTGTTGTATTTCAAACTTTTAATTTTTTTAATTTTTTTTTTACACTTTGAATTTGGAATGTTCTCAACATCGCAATGAGCACAGGGGGGTAATAGTGAAACATACAAAACGCCGGTGATGAGTATCTTTCGGACTGAAGCTGGACCCTAGTCGCTTGGCGGGGGGGCTCCGCGGCCCTGCTGCGGGGAGCTGCGCGGGGTGGGGCGGCGCGGCGGCGGGTGGCAAGGGGGCTCTCGGGCGCGTCCCTGTAAGTAGCGAGCAACAGCAGCATGAGGACTAGCCGTGGCAGTAGCAGCGAGAGCAGCAGCAGCAGCGAAGTGCGGCGAGGGGAGGTATGAACTTGACCTCCCGCTCGCTCTTGACCTGGGCGGCGGCGGCGGCGCTACAGAGCGCGCGGCTCGGCCGGCCTGGCGCAGACGTCGTGTGGAGCCGCGCTGTGAGCCATTTGCATATACTGTATCGCTGGATAGAAGTGCGACTCTCGCCCGCCGCTGCGGACGCCTCTCTCTCGCTCTCGCTCTCTCTCTCTCTTGTTGTACGACTGGTGCGCCGAGCCGACATCTCTCTTACGCCCGTGGCTTTGCACGTCCCCGACGACACAACGCCAGGAAGCACACACCACATGTCCCACCGGGCGGCGCTGCTGGGGGCTGCTCGACCTCCTGGCCCCTCTTCCCCCACGCCTCCCAGCCCCGCTCTGCCGGGAGCGTCCTGAATAATGTAGCCAAATTCGCGTGACGGTTCGGGCGGGCCGAGGCCGGCCGAGGCCCTGGGCCGCGAGGCTGGCTGCGTGGGTGGGCTCGCCGCGCCGCGCGCTGCCGCGGGAGAGTAGTGGGGACGGCGGGCGCCTATTTGTCCTCCTCGAGGTGCGGCAGGAGAGCCACTGCCACTGCCGCCGCCGCCGCCGCGCCCTTCTGCTCCCCCCCCCCCTGCAACCGCACACACGGACGACTCCCGGAAGGAGGAGGAGGAGGTTGTTAGCGTGTGCGCGTTGTACCCGGGTGTACCGGACGACAAGAAGAGGCTCATCGCCGTTGCAAGTGTTTGTGTGTGTATACCGGCGGGGGAGAATCCCAGGAATAACGAAAGAGGAAATTTTGTGAACTTGGGTGCCGGCGTGACTCGTCGTCGTCGTGTGCTGCGTGTGTGTGCCGACTGTGCACGGCACGGCACGTTTGGACTTTCGGTGGAGTTCCCCGTGGGCGTGGCCGCCCGCCCGGGCCGGCGCGCGGCGGCGTGTGCGCGCGGCGTGCGGACCGAAACGGATCGGGTCGGAATGGTACGGTGGTGGTGTACGTTCGTACAAGCGCCCGGGGCGCTTCGGCTCACCGCCGCACGGTCAACAAGTCCGACCGTCAGGCTCTGCTCTCTGCCCTGCACGCGACTGCCGGCCCGGGACGCACCCACACCGCGGCGGCGGCGGGGCCGGCATTCCTCCACACTGGCGTGACGACCGCCATTGGCTGGGCCGCAAGGGTATACTTCACTATAAATTCATGCGTTCACGGAATTTTCTGTTGTTTC